AAATGAATTTACGGCAAATTTATACGCATTAGATTTTACGTCAAAATTCAATTTTCACGCCTAATTTAAACTCTGAACTCCCATTCGATGGCAATTTCAGAGCATATGTCTTCAAATGAGAAAAGCAAAAGCACAGTGACTCACACACAAACTTTCACCTTAATAAACAACGATAGAGCCTGCACTCGAGCATTCAGTAGATATGTCAGTAGCATTGCAATTGCAAACGTTTTCACGTACGGACATACACATTTATATATAACATATGTACATGTGTATAAGCTAGCAACATTTAAAAAATACTACTACATATATCGAGATATTATACGATGGCATCGCCCTTTAATTAGACTTGATGTAACAGCTTCACAAATCAAAAAGGTATCCACGGGCAAATGTACACGTATCAAATGTGTGTAGAGTGTTCAAAATTTGTTTTATTTCGTATTTCAATAGTTAAGGTATTCAAATTCTGCTTAAAATAATTCTTCAAAATTTGAAATATTTTACAAGTTATAATAGTGTTAAGGAAACTCAGTAGGTTGAGTGCTAAATTAATGCTTTGAACGCGTTTTTCTCGAAACTACAATACTTTTTTTATTTATTGTACTTGAAACATGCCATAAATATTCTTTAAGTATCTCTATTTTGTACTAACCAACTAAAGATACAAATTTCTAATTGTAAAATTTAAAAAAAAATCGAAAAAAATAAAAAAATAGTGAAAACAAGTAAGGAAGAACTAAGTTCAGGTTTAACCAAATATTTTGTACTCTCGCAATTTTCAAAGATGAATGGCGGGGATAACAATTAAATTCACTTTCTTAATATCTTAGATTGAAGGTCTTGTACTCAGTTTTATTAAATATATTTTAATTATTTACGTCAACGAAAATATATTAAAATCATCCTTAAATGATATCCATATGTGATATAAACTCAACCGAAGAGGCTAATTTAATATATTGACTTTATGTGGAAAACGTCAATCAGAGTATCGAAATTCTTTATAGTTACTAAGGGTATGGAGCTAGACCAATTTCATTCATATTCAGTGGTAAACCACATAATTTCCAAGGAGACTTGTCCATTTAATTTGTACGGTTTAAAGTTAGTTGGAAAGTTGGAAATGATAACACCATACATGTTATTATAGGGGCAAAGACAGGGACGGGCTGAATGCATTTATTTGGACATTGCTCAGGTATACTTGAGTACATATTTTCAAATAATGTTACAAGTTCCGACAGTTTCATTAAGGTACACTTACCACTAATCTATATGGAGTAAAATCAGCCGGATGTTCGAAAATCGTGATATTAGTTATATGTGGGCTAGGGAAAGTTTTCAAACACTTTTAACCATTTTAGACACAAATATACATTGTTATTAGCCAAACAGGCTCTTTCGTTTTCACTAAGATAACTCACATATTGGCCGATATATGCGGAAGTTTGAAAATCTTTGTATCAGATTGATTGGTATTTTCGATAAAGCCTTCGCTGTAGGATGGGGTCCACATATTCGGTATATGGATTATTGGTCCTAAAGTGGCCTTTAAGCGCACTAATCGGGCAAGGTTTTATCCCGATACATTTATTGTTTGTGGATTTGCATACTGAAAAGTGAAAGCACGAGATGGAATCTAAAATTGGGTTATAAGGAAAATAGGTTGTAGCATTGTAATCTGATTTCGCCCATTTTTTCACCGAAACATGGGAATATCAAAACAAATTACATACCAAATGTGTTCGATATCGGTTGAATAGGTCTTGCGATATGAGTTTTCACTTTAATCTTCTTACTTTGACCCCGGCTTCTATAAAGCTCTCTCGTACCATCTCGGGTGTAAAATGTAATATCTCTGACGTGACTTAGTTATTGTTTTATCGCGCTTTTAGTAGTTTTTAACAGAACCGTTATATGTGGATTGGGCGGTGTTATCATCCGATTTCATTTCTTTTTACAGTGTAGGTAGGAGTGTTTAAGGGATTTGGAAATATGTTTATTAAACCTTTTAGAGGGTACGTTCATGCCCATTTTTTCAACATTTTTTCAAAATTTTTAACCCACAGATGCCTCTTGCTACTACGATCCCCTGTGGTGAATTAATATTTAATGGCGTTTTGTGCGCGTGGCAGTGATCCGATTACGCCCATCTACGAACTCGTCCCTATTGTTTTTGCCAAGGAACACATGTACAAAGTTTCTTTAGGATATCTTAAGCTTGCACGGTCAGACGGGCGGACGGACAGAGAGACATTCGGATTTCAACTCGTCTGGTCATCCCGATCATTTACATAACATATACATATGTACATACATATATAACCCTATATCTAATTCGATTATTTTTAGGTGAAACAAACAACAATTAGGTGAACAAAACTATTATACTCTGTAACAACATGTTGCAGGAGTTTAAAAATATTGCGTAAAAGTATACAATCAAATTTGATATCTTGTTAACTTTATTATTATTTATTATTGGTCATTGGCTCACTTAGTTTCATTAATATATCTTGCTTCATATCTGAAATATTTATTTTGAAATCAACCTAAACTCAAATGAGATTATGTATGCGACATAAACTCAATCAAAAAAGCTAAACCTATTATATTGGGCACATGAGGAAAACATCAACCAGAAGAAGGCCTGGTCTTATTGCATTACTTTTTGGCATTACTCATGTATACTCGAGAACAGGCTTAATGACAACGTCAGGAGTGCAACTCTCCAGGAGAGGCGTTGTCGCGACATGGCGGTGACCGATCCTAAACTGGACGATAGAGAATAACAGGTGAGTCTTACCCCCCACCAACTCGAGACGTGCGTAGGTGTCGTGATCTATACCACTAACTATAACATAGCCTTTTGATATGATGCCACGATGGAATATCTAATACACACTCGTCCTCAATTCCGCGTTTTATTTTAAATGAAGACATGAGTCTAGGGACATCCTTGTAGCATACAAGGCGCAGTTTAAAGTTATCCCATAGCTCCGGCTCATTCGGTCCCTTGCAAGAAGCATGACGCTGGCAATTCGTACTAGAGCTGAAAATATTATTAATTGTCTACCTGCCGTAAAATCAGTTGCGATAGACAAGAAGTCACCTGTTCAGTTCTTTTTTTCATTTATTACTGATATTTTGATTGCTGTCATCGTGAATTGCACCAATGAGAAAATTTGTTTGCAATCTACTAACGATGCCCAAAAATCAGAAGCAACACTGCTAAAAAGACGGCACTATTTGGCTTGCTTTTTATACCCTGAGCAGGGTATGTTAAGTTTGCCACGAAGTTTGTAACACCCAAAGACGGAGACCCTCTCAAATATATACATAAATGACCAGCCTGATGAGCTGAGTTGATTTAGCCATGTCTGTCTGTCTATCCGTCCGTCCGTCTGCCCGTCTGTATATACGCGAACTAGTCTCTCAGTTTTTGAGATATCGATCTTAAATTTAGTATATGACCGTTTCCACCACAAAGACGCTGCTCATATGTCGGAATGGCCGATATCGGACAACTATAGCATATAGCTGCCATACAAAGTGAACAACCGGAATCAAGTTCTTGTATGGAAAACTATTTCATTTGACATGACATCTTCACGAAATTTGAAACGAATCATTATATAAAGCAATAATGGAATCTCCGAAAAAATTGTTCAGGTCGGATCACTACAACGTATAGCTGCCACACAAAATGAATGATCGGAATCAAGTTCTTCTAAGCAACCTATTGTATTTGTGAAGCGTATTATAGCTTCGGTGCAACAAATGTTACGGTACAGGAATGGATGTATTTCGAGACACAATGTGAAAAAATAGATTTGTTTTTTTAAGATTTGATAGCACTGCTACACGGTGTGACAAAATAGAGATAGATCGGTTAGTCCCCATCAAAAGTTTATTTGAACAATTTGTAAAAAATTCTCAATAAGTTTAATTCCGTAAGAAAACCTTACTTTGGATGAAGAACTAGTAGCCTTTAGAGGACGTTTCCGTTTCCGCTAATATATACCATCTAAACCCGCAAAATACGATATAATATAAAAATATAATTTATGCTTTGGTGGACAATAAGACCAATTACGCCGCAAGTATGGAAAAACCATACAAGTAACTTCAAATTGGTCCTTATGCTATTAGCAATAAACACTACGACGTCGTTGATCGATTTGTACAATGTGTTTCACAAACTACACGAAACATTACTAGGGCTAATTTTTTTACAAGTTACCAGAGCACTCATAATTTATTGAAAGATCTTAAACTGACTGCAGTCAGAACTTTACGCGTTAAAAAAACTTTAATACCACCTGTTTCAAACAAATCGTGAAGTAAATACTACAAAATTTGGATTTGAAAAAAAATCCACGTAAAATGGTGTATATACTGTCGTCATTGCATCATTATAAAGAAATCGATCTTAAAATAAGAAGTCAGCAAAAACCAGCTATTATCACGTTCTACAATCAAACTAAAAGTAGCGTTGATGTCGTCCATAAATTATGAAGAACTTACGATGTTTCACGTAATTCTAAGCTCAATCATGTTCAAAAATGGCATCGCAAAACATAAAACTAGGTTTGTCTTTAATAAAACCCCACCAAGAAGAAGGTGGAACCAAAGACTTCCTAGGGAACTGCGCAAAAGAATTGGAAAGTATTTTCAAAAACCCCTCGGAAACTTACAAGACAAATAAATAGGAAGACTAGGCACATTTGTAAAAAATGTAATAAGCCTATATGCATGGAATTTGCAGATTTTAATTGTCAAAACTGCGGAAACTTAAGTGATTAAGATCTAATTTTATTATTCTTCTGAATTGTTAATGTTTAAAACTAGATATACTGTAGTTTTATAAATTGAGAAGACTGTGGTTGTAATATGTGCCATTTGATTTTAGTACTTAAGAAAAGATTTAATTGTTCATAGTTAGAAGAAAAGAAATTAGTTTTTTACATTTATTAATATTTTACTTAAACCAATTCACTTTTATATATATAAATACGAGTATATTTAATGTTGAGGATTGTACTATCTTTTATAATTGGCACATATCACACCCCACCTAGTACAGGGTGGTAAGATTAGTCACCTCATATACGGAAGGATAAGGAATACAGTTTATAATTACAAGTAGATACTTTGGCTGCATGACAGCTTTTAATCGCTCAAGTCACGCTTTGGAATCGTAAGGGAAAAACTAATTTTAATAATAATTCAATGAAAAAAGTTTATTAGCTTTGTATGCTTATCTCCCTTTAGGTTTTGAGTAAGCAGAGCAGTAATTAAAGTCTTTCTGCACTAAAACATATATTTAAATAACTCAGAGCTTGAACGCATGATCCACTCAGTAGTGATCTCAATAGTCCGGAGGCCAGTACTGCTTCTGCACCCTGTAAAAAAACAAAAAGGTCTTATGTATATAACCACTGAGAATTGAGACTGCTTAATGAAACTATTTCGAGCAGATTGAATCAAAAGAAACATACAAGTACATACAACATAATACAGGATACAAGTCACTGTGATTTAAATGTGGCAGTTATGTGACCAAGTTCGTATGATTTTTCCAAATATATGGGCATATAAAACCTGGTTAATTTACTTTCACAACACAACATTTATTATTATATATTTACTTTCTATTTTTCTAGTAGATATCCGATTTTGTTGCATTTGCATTAGAATTTGATACATTTCATTTTAATTATTTGCAGATCGTGTAACAAATATAAGCACATACATACATACTTTATATTTGCATGCTTTGGAATAGTATGGACTTTACATGGTTAGATACACATGTGAAGGTTATGTGTGCTTTTGCATACCGTCGCCACAGCTGAGTACCCACACTACACTTTGTTGTGATCAAATCTAAACAATTCTCGATTGCATTTGTTGCTGCCAAAGTGCTCGGTGCAGCAAACGTTGCATGACTTGATTACAAAAATGAAAAGCGGTTAAGAAACATATCTAAATAATTACAAAAAAGAAATGTATATATATAATATACGTATATACATATTTGTTTGTAGGTGCTCTGTAGTGAAACAAATAATTTTGGACTACTTTCCGACAAGTATGAACCAGAAGCGCAACTAGGCAGCCGGCTTTCATATATATACCAGTCTTATACTAGTTCAAGATAGATATAAAAATCTATTTCAATTATGGACTAATTTTAACATTTTTAATTTTAATGACAATAAATTTATAAAGTCTGTTAAGTCAAATAAAATAACGCACAAATGAATAGTTTTATAAATGACAAAAGTCATGTTTTTTTTTGAAAATTCTAGTTGTATTTCATATTTTCTGATATTGATTGACTTTTCGTCAGGAATTTCTAGTTGGGGACTAGTACCTGTCTTCACTAACATAAAATTTTACTGTGGGATATATACAAAACGAAGGCCACTATAAACACATTCTTTAAATGACAATCCTCCGCTAAGTTATAACCGGTCTTGTCCTTGTTATACAAGTAAAACTAGAAACATTTAAAACTATACAAATTTATTAATTAACTATTTCAGTAGTATAAAGGTTTATGCTTACTTTAACCGAGTTCTGTAGTCTCTTAAGCCAGAGTTCGAAATATAGTATATATACAAGGATTGGATTTCGATAGGTCACTTTATTCTAATGAATATTTTAAATTCAAAAATTAATCCTTGTCAAATAATAAAAGGTTTCCATATAAGGACTTGATTGTAATCAATCAGTTTGTGTGGCCGCTATATCCAGTTCCGTCAAATGAGCTGGGTCTTGCGGAAGAAAGGGAGCGTGTGACATGTCAGATCGATATACAATATATAAAACTGAGGGACAAGTCCCCGTATATACAGACAGACCGATGGACAGACAGACGGAAATGTCTAAATCTAGTCAGCTTGTCACGCTGATCATTTAATATATATACTTTATGAGGTCTCCGACGTTTCCTTCTGGGTGTTACAAACTTCGTGCCAAACTTAATGGAGTATACTCTTCGGAGTATATTTACATTTTCTTAATTCTTTAGACACAAATTAGTTATAAAGCAGTATATTTTATCCATTTCCAATCAGCAGCAAGTATTAAAGAGCTATTCTAGAAATAAAGTTAGCCATGCATATATGTATGTACATGCGTAAAATCCCACAATTAGTCAATATGAACCAGCTTTATATTTTTTTCAAACATTTATTTTCAATCTGTTGATAATCTTAAAAACTGAAATACGAAAAATTAATTTATGCCACGTCTCTTGTAAGCGTCCTTATTTAATAATATATTTAATTCTTTAAATGCAAAATTTCCTTTTTGGCTGCACTGAATGTCGAATGTCGAATGCCGAAAGGGCAGTACAAGACACTGAGATGCTGGAGGTGAAACCGTTATGTGATGACAATACTTAGTGTTATTTTTAATTTCAATGAGTTTTAAATGCATTACTCTGTTAATGGATAATTAAATTGAGTAAGGATGTAAATATTGAGGGAATATTGTGTTAAATGCGTTGCAAATGGGTATAATAAAATTAGTGTTTTTGTTAGTTTTGTACTTTGCGCAGATATTGAAAGACTGTAAGCAATAGCGAAAATGTAGATGGAGAAAGTGTATGTATGTTTTAGTAAATTGAGATGGTTTTCGAGAACTATAATATGAACATATATGCGTGAGTGTGTAAGATACATATTCTAGCGTGTCTAAAAGCAGGTGTTGTTATGAAGAAAGAGTAGTGTTTTGCAGTCTGAAAACTTTCAGCTACAACTTGTAAATGGTTTTTGGTGTAATAATCATATTAAGCGTTAAGTGCGTTAGTGATAGCTTAAGTGCCCTCAGTTCCAGTATACGCTAAGACATTAAGTCAACGTGCGTTTGGAACCATTGAGCCAGTCTTTAAATTGAGAAAAAATAGAGTAGGCGAAGCTTCGTTAAAATGTTAATGCAAATATGAAAGTGCTCAGTTGAGTGCTTCGAAAGTACATTAATGCAGTTAGAACTAGTCTAATAGAACACAATAAGCGGTGAATATAAGTACATTACCCGTACAATAAAGTTAATACAGTCATAATAAAATATAAACTAGTTGGGTGCATATACGTTTTAGTTGTAAACACTTAAGCGAGCTCATAATCGGACTACATAGTAGGCGAGCAAGCGGCAGGTGAGCTGGAAAGAAATCGACCTGAACACTTTTTGCCTGTGCAATATATATAATATATATATTTTTGATTTTAAATGTATTAACATTAGTTAATTGCGAAAATTAGCTCCTTACTTATACCCATCAAACTGATGATCGGGTAAATATTTATCAGTATTCCAAAACTATGTAATTTCCACTAAGCTTTGCACACTAATGTACCTCATTTTTATTATCTTATATTGTTCGTCATTTCAAAATTTGTACACCCCGCTCTGTCCCGATAAAAGAACGAAAAAAGCATGGCGTTCATTATTTGTTCTTTTAAAAGAAAAAAATTAATCTAGATTAAACTCAATTCTTGTTATAAATTAAATAAATAAATAAATTAGAAAATTATATTAGGTTTGTTGTTGTTAGATTTTTGTTTTTCAGGATATACATATTGCACTCCCGTTTAGCCAAATTGCTTCCCGCCTCCTATTGCTGATACGCTGAGTAGGCCAGATTTTGCGCTTCGTTTAATGAGCGTGCGTAGCCGTGTTCTTCGTGCGAGTAGTGTGGGTGTGCCACGACTTCGTAGTTTTCTTTCTTCGATTCAAGCAGCTTCTTCAGACCAATGATGCCGCTCAACAGCAACGCGATCTTGCCGATGACAAGCGCCTTAAAGGAGATCAGAGCTAGGAAACCGATGGCGAGTGGCAGGAGTGCGGCCATCTTCAATTTAAAGAGCAACAACAGTGGCAGAAGGTACTTCTTCTTTTCCTTCTTCTTGCCGCGTGCTAAATTAAAGAAAGACAAGAGTTAGAGTAATGTATTTGTTTATATTTTTAGAAGGCGATTTTAAAAATTATGTGTGAGAATTTTTGTAAAGTGTAAATTCTTCTGGCTATAAGCTTTTGAGTTGTATTTATTTTGAGTTTATTTCAGTCAAAAGCTGCTTAAAAATTCTATTTCTGTATAGAAAGTTTATACTTAGTTGTTTTCCAGAAATTTTCTAACCAAGTTTTTAAGTAAATTTCCATTGAAACAAACAACAACAAAGAAACAAGAACAAACTTCAAATTCGCTGTAGCTAATAACAGCCTCAACAACACTTGCTAACTCTGTTGTTGCCGCTTTTAAGTTGTCGGAAGATGGCAATAATTCAATAGAGGAACTAAAGAACTTTAGCACAAATTTCCGCACACAACTTACTTGAGCTGCCTCATGTGTGTGTAAGTAGTATGGATCTATGCACATATATACTATATGTGTGTGTGTAAGGTTAATCTGCACAGCTAGTTAGTGTGGATAGGCAATCGAGTGTGCAGATATAAACATACACACATACATATACATATTTGCACATCTGTGCAACAGCCACGACAGGATCAACAAGCTTTCCATAAAGTGGTTTAGAAAAGTCATTTGAAATTGTTCGCAATAAATTACAAACAAGAAATTAAAAGAAACCTCAATTGCAAAAACAAATACTTGCACAACTTTCCTGAGAATGAAAAGAAATCAGTTAAATTGCAATAGAAGCAGCTGCAGCAACAATAACAACAACATTTTCCATAAATATTATCAGACAACGCGCTGCAAGAAAAACAGCTTTCCAAAGTTTACCAACAGCAAAAGCAGTGGAGTGGAAAATATAAATGCATATATGTTTATTTACACATACCTACCTATATATATTTATATATTAAAGATGAACGCAAAGTGTGAGTTGAATGCAACAAGTTGCAATTGCTACTGCTGAGGAGTATTCTTCAGTTCAAAGATAGGAAGTAGCGAATTTAATTCACCACCGTATGCTCTATTTTACCTAAGTACTAGATAAACCCTGTTTTTTCAACTCCTCTAATATCTAATTGATATTCATACGAGATTTC